CCGAGGTCTAGAGCCCGAGAAATGAATTTTTCTGTGAAATTATTTTTCTGAAATTATTAAGGAAAATGGAAATGAAAATTTATTAAAAGACTGTGGTATCGGGCTCGTATTGGTTTCCGACGCCCGGCACAAGTCTTTATATATTGTTTAAGCGCTTTCTGTGAAGTTGGTCGAAATCGGACAACGTTTTGACGTGTTTCGGACCTAATTATCTAAAGTTGGAAGTTTATGAAAGTTTGAAATAGAAATGATGAGTTTGAGGCTTGATTCAATGATTTTGACGTTATTTTGGCGATTTGATCACTCGGTTAAGTTCGTAGGAATGTTATTGAGTTAGTGTGTGTGTTTGGTTAGGAGCCCCAAGGGCTCGGGAGTGATTCGGAGGTGGTTCGGGGTGTTTTTTGGCCTAGGAAGTGTTGCAGAATCCTCTGCAAGTCAGTGCCCAGTCATTTTCTTCTATGCGATTGCATAGGTGTGTCTGCGATCGGCGTAGAGTTATTTTGGAGTCGCCCAGTTTTGTTCTATGCGATCGCGTTATAGGCCATGCGATCGCATACCTCTGCAAACCCATTCTATGCGATCGCACACCCCCTTCTGCGATCGCAATTCACAAAAGGCCCAGCCCCACTTTGACCCTCTATGCGATCGCACCCATCATCCCGCGATCGCAGTGACCAGCCCACTTTACCCTATGCGATCGCATTCCCTTTCCCGCGATCGCAATAGGGCAATTCCGTCCAGTTAATTTAAAAGCTCAAAACAGAACCGGTGACGGGATTTCTTCATTCTTTTCACACGGGCTCTCCTCTTAAACCCTCCATAGAGGAAATTCAAGCTCTCCTTCCTCCATAACTCTTTGGGTAAGTAATTTAACATCTTTCCCTCATTATTTCTCATCTAATTACTAAATTCCTAGCCCTAAATCATGAAATCAAAGTAGAAATTAGGGTTTGGGGTAGAGTTAGGTTTTGAGAATTTGGGTGATTCAACTCAATTTGGGGTCGAATCTTAAAACAAATTATATATTTGCACTCGTGGGGTTATGGGTGATCGGGTTTTGGTCCGGAGCCTCGAGTTTGGGACCATGTGGGCCGGTGTCTAATTTTGGTAATTTTTGGAATAATGCCTAGAAATTTATATCTAGGCTATGAGAAATTGCCATTGAGTCTTTATTGATATTGTTGAATTAATTATGCCTAGATATCACTGTATTGGAGGTGGAATCACGAGGTAAAGCGATAGTTAGATTAAGTGGATTTCAAGGTTTGAGGAAGTGTTTGGTTTAACCCTAGTTGAGGGAATAGGAGTTGAGTCTTGTTGCTAATTGCTATGTGATTCGGTACGATGTATAGGCATGGTGACGAGTATCTATACATTGGTGTCTAGCATGACCGTGAGTCCTTATAATGTGATTATCATGATTTGGTTGTGAACTCCGTGTTTATTGGAGGATTTCTATATCTTGTGAATAACATGTGAACGGTAATAGGATCATTTGATTCCTGGAGCATTGCTCGAATTGTGATACGTAATATTGAAAGTATATCGAATGACTTGATTCTTTGGAGCGTTGGCTCAAAATAGTAAAGTGAATTATAAGATAAGGAAAGTAAGAAAGAGAAAGCGTTGTTGATTATTCCCTTGTCAGGACGTTTGGTTGCATTTGTTGAATTCTTTCCCTTGCCGAGATGTTTGTCAAATATTTGCTTATTTTGTGGCCCTTGATTGTGACTATTGTTTGGAGAGTCGGACTGTACAATGATATTGAGGATCGGGTTGCGCGCCGCAACAATGATATTGAGGATCGGGTTGCACGCCGCAACAGTAAAAGGTGAGGATCGGGTTGCGCGCCGCAACAATGATACATGATAAATGATATGGGTCGGGTTGCGCGCCGCAACAGTGGTATTTGTGGAGCGGGTTGCACGCCGCAACAATAGTAATTATGGAGCGGGTTGCACGCCGCAACAGTTATTGAGACTATGTGTTTACATTTGAGTATTGATTCCTTGTTCACTGTGAACCTAAGTTGCTTTAGTTGTTACTCTGGATTATTGTTATTATTGTAACTCCCCATAGCATGTTTCCCCTCCCATGTTGGTAATTGCTTTGTATTCGATTTCCGCCGTATATCTATAACTGCACAGGTTTATGTGATGTCCAGTCTAGCCTCGTCACTACTTCGCCGGTAGGCTAGACACTTACCAGCACATGGGGTCGGTTGTGCTGATGCTACACTTCTGTGCATTTTTGCACAGGTCCAGGTTTTTGAGGAACAGCAGCAGCAGTAGTTCGGAGCAGGCGATTTCAATATTCACGAGACTGAGGTAGCCTTGCAGGCATCCGCAGGCCCGGCGTCTCTTCTCATTGTTTTCTTTTAGACTGTTGCCTCTTGTTTCGAGACAGGACAGCTGTTATATTTCTTTCAGACCTTTGTATTTAGTTTATTCTTAGTGGTTCGTGAGTAATGTGACACCAAATCTTGGAGAGGTTGTTTTTGACTATTCCGCGTTTTAAATTCATCATTTTAAGACAGACTTCCGCTATTGTTCTTATTAGACTTTATGTTCTATATTGATGTTTATAAACTGTTAAAGATAATTGCTAGTGATGGAAAGGTAATTAAGTTGGCTTGCCTAGCTACCACGAGTAGGCGCATCACGAGGGAAATCCGGGTCGTGAACAATGAGGACTAGTTCTAGAGTAAAAAATGAACTAGTGAATGTACATATTCATACTTGGTTAAATAAAGATTGTATTGTTTGACCCAAAAAAAATAGAAACTAATAATATTAAAATTATGTAAGTGTTATAAAATATAAAATAATAGTCACAAGAGAGATCTCCCCTTCCGAGTTATATTAAATTCCAATTTTGAGATTTATTGTATAATTTATTTTTTTTTTGGTTAATGTATAATTTAATTTATGATAACTAATAAGTTATTGACATAGTAATGTACCATTATTATAACACACGCATATATATATAATATATATATATTATATATATATATATATATATATATATATATATATAATATTATATAATTTGCTATAGAATGGTAAGTGGTACAAGATTATAGTTGTTAAATGGTTATTTATTCATTAATTAGATATAATTTTATTATTTCAATTATAAATGGAACTTATAACTAACACTTATTTAATGAAATATATCATATGATTAGTTTTCCAATTAACGTAGATATTAACCATATTAAATTCGATATTTTCAGTGTATCTAGATATATCAAAATTATACATAAATTCATATGAATAATAATCTTAGTGATAAATAACTAGATATTTTGTTCTATCTATGTAATTGTTAAGCTAACTATTTTTAAATAATTTGAAGCAAAAATATTTATTTTGCTACACGATTTTGTTTTAAATAATTTTATGTGTCTAAAAGATTAACATTGATATAGTAAGTTTTAACTTATGGCAAAAAATAATGATTATCTGCGAAATTTTATCTCAAAAATAAATTCATGACTATAATCTTGTCATGACAAATAATTGTAGCTGTTAAATCAACTGTTGCCACAGTATTTTAGTAGTTGAAGCAAACAATATTTATTTAGCTACAATATTTGCTTTAAATTACTTGTAATAGCTAAAAAGTTACTATAGCTACAGTAAATTTTAACTCGTAGTAAAAACAAATATTAGCTACAAAATTTTATTGTAGCAATAACTCCATGGCTACATCATTTAACTATTGCCACAATGTTTTATAACTTGAAGCAAAAACACTTATTTAGCTACAACATTTTGCTTCAAATAGTTTGTTGTAGCTAAAAGATTACTATTGCTACGGTGACTTTTATCATGTGGCAAAAAGTTATGATTAGCTACGAAAAATTATTGTAGCAATAAATTTGTAGCTATTTATGTAATTATTGTCACAGTTGTTAGCAATTGTAGCAAAAATGAGTAATTAGCTTTGCCAATTTGATTTTTGTGGCTAAGAAATTTTATAAATTTGTAAATAGCCATGGAACTCGAATATTTGTGGCTATTGTTAAGTACTAGCTACAATTTTTAAATCTGTAACTAAGATTTTGTAGCTATATACGCATAATGTTGTAGTGTTTGGTCGATTTTTTTTGACGGTTTTTCTCGAATTTCTAGTAGTGTAATTTCCCAAATAACCAATTGCCCAGGCAAATCCCCAAGAAAATATCCCCAGCTAAAATCGCATGTATTAGGGATTTTCCTTCAGATTAACATATGATTTGTTCCTCATTTTCTTTGTTTGTTTACCTGCGAATTTTCTCATGAAAATATACTTGCCGATTTATTTCTCTACTAATATATATTAAAGTTACTGACAAATTTATTAACGCTACTAATATATTTTGAAAACTAACGTTAAGAAAAAATTAAATATATAAATATATTATAAAAATAATAAATAAAACAACATTAAGTTATTTTATTTATAAATAAAATACATAGTTAAAAATATATTATATAGTATATAATATAGGAGGTATTACATAAATATGAAGGTTTATATAATACCAAGGGCATAATAGACTTTTCAAGTACAAATGTGACTTTTATGATAACTAGAGCAAAGTAAAATGATTTTTGTGTAACAAAAGAAAGAAAAATGATTTTTGTGTAATGAACACAAAGTTGAATGATTTTTATGTAACAAAAAAAAGAAAATTGACTTTTGGATAACAAACACAAAAGTTCAATGACCATGAATAAACTTAACTCTCTTTAAATACATTGTAATCTATGGATATCTTTTAAACAACATGTTTAAAAGTGGCTAACGGGTGTCTTTTCCACTCCATAGTCCATATGTACCGATAATCTATTGAGATTTGAGACCACTGTAAGGAATATTCTATTAATACCTAAAATACCAAATCACACTTGCCTATAAATATAGACCTCATACTTCTTGTAGGTACATACATCTCTATCACATTATCACAATCCTAAGCATATCTCAGAGAAATTTTTTATATAGCATTAATGTCTATTAATATTGGAGATAAAGCTAGAGAAGTACTTGCTGCTCAGGCACACATATGGAACCATACATTCAGTTACATCAACTCCATGTCACTCAAATGTGCAATTCAACTTGGAATTCCAGATATCATCCATAGTCATGGCCGAGCCATGACCCTCTCAGAATTGGTGAATGCCCTCCCAATCTTTGAATATGCCGAGAAGGAATCCGGGTTTAACTGTCTATTTAATGAAGCGATGGCTAGTGATGCCCCATTGATTATAAGTATAATGATTGAACATTGTAAGGAAGTTTTTGAAGGATTGAAATCAATTGTGGACGTAGGAGGCGGCACTGGAACCACGGCTAAAGCTATTGCGGACGCATTTCCAAAAGTAAATTGCATTGTGTTAGATTTGCCACATGTAATTGGAGGATTTGAAGGGAGAAAGAACCTAAGCTATGTGGGAGGAGATATGTTTAAGTCCATTCCTTTTGCCGATGCATTTTTACGATCTCGCCCAACTATGCCTTATAAAAGGACACGCGGACGTTGCTAATATAACCTGAGTATTTAAGCCCGGAGTCGAATTCACAGAGAATTAACCTATCAATTACTTTTGTTGGATTTACTAAATTCTTTATAATCAACTTCCCCGAACGTTGTAAATAATAGTTGATGGTATTTCTAATAACTAAGATTGAAAGTAAATAAACAGTTGTAAACTAAATATGCTTGGGTTATAAACAATAATGAGAGTGTTCTAAGGTAGTGATTTCCCCTATTGATGGAATCCCTTCCGGTTATGTTTCATATAGATTCACCAAAACATCTCTATCAATCATGAGCACTCTTTATTAGAGCTCACTTTAGATTGCACCCAAGGCTTCGTTATCCCTAATCTCGCCTTTAAACCCGCAGTTATAGATCCCTCTTATACTTTGGGAGTGGTGTTGCTCAACAATTACCTAAATATGCACTCTCTTCCGAGTTATGCACACTAAATAGGCACAGCTAATTGAGGATCCTGTCAATTAACTACAACAAACACGTAGTTGAACAAATAGAGATTAACTGGTAAACTATATTAACATAATCAAGAAGTTCATCCTTCAATAGGTTCCATCAAAACCTTAGACTAAAGTATTTAGCTACTCATAACAACGTAAGGATAAACTACGAAAATATTCATAATCGAAAATAGCAAGAAAAAGAAGAGATAAAGAACTATGATGTTTTTGGGTGATCTCTCACACTTGTGTATCTTGCAAAAGTATTCTCCAAAACAAGTCTGCCCTAATGTGGCCGAATTTCTACATCTTATAAGGGTTTTACACCAAGTTTTTCCGACTTGACACTTTGGTCCCTGAAGTTTCTGCGTCCTGCCGCGGTCCCACCGCGGTTGCGCCAGGACCGCGGCCAGAATGGTCCTCTGAATCTGCAGCAATGTTCTGCCGCGGTCCTACCGCGGTTACGCCCGGACAGCGGCATGCCAGCTTCAATTCTGGTTTTGTCCCTTCGCTTGGTGCACTTTGTGGGTATTGTATGGTTGGCCTCCTTTTCTTCGTAATTGATCCCAAAAGTACTCCACAAACTTCTTTTATTGGATATAGCCTGCAAAGCATGAAAAAGCACTAATCAGAGCATTTGGTTATTATTTTTTACCATAAAGCTATGCAAAAATGTGGTTCTTTAGGGCCTAATTATAGTCTAATTCACCTATTATCAACACCCCACACTTAAATCTTTGCTCGTCCTCGAGCAAGTTGAACCACACTTCTAGGCCTAATCGTTTGATGCATTACCCCGTTTATGTCACACCCGCCATTATGAAGGAACAACCTAAGCAGTGCAACAGCCACACCTCAAATGAAGACTCTAATGCCATGCCACACTCATGATTACTCTATGTACTCTACACAGAAGTGAAGACTTGCTTTTTCTTCTTGAGTTAAATGCCCTCACATCACATTTTCTAGAGAAGTTCCATTAGGAGTTTTTAGGACCCTCCTGGATAATGGGGTGTAGCTTTAAAGTTCGTTTCAGATAACAAGATATAGTGGGAGTCGTACCTTCAGTAGATATAACTTAGGTTAAAACTATCTTTTAACTATAAGTTGTCAGGACCCACCTGGGTAATGGGGAGTAGTTTAAGACCTTTTAGACAACAAATGTAGTGAGGGTAATACCTCTAGAGGATATAACTTAGGTTCATAATTATTAGAAGGACTTAGCTTTCAAATTCTTATAATAGTTGGTAGACTAATTCAGTTTAACACTTACCCATGTACCCAGCTACCAAACTGGGGCAGAAAGTTTTCTTTGTTTCTGTTTATTTTGTCGCAGTCAGGAGCCCACCTGGAGAACAAGGGAATACTTTTCAAGT